TGTCATTCTACCTTGACACTACAGGAATTCACCAAACGTGTAAAGGTCTTGGGGCCTCAGCTAGAGGTTCAGAATTCAGTCGAGTTTCGCACATAAATTTATACTGACAACTTGTAATGAGGGATGTGTTTTCTTTGATGAACAAACTCTACACCGCCACGCAGCCTATTTGGTGATCCTGAATATATAGCAAATAGATGTCTTCGGAGAAAACCGTTTCTATCCATTTGGACCTTTTTTTACATATGACACTCTTCAGATAGATGCTCGAACTGAGCGACTTGCAATGATTTCCGATTAAACATTACGGTAGCCCTTTATAGTATATTTATTTATAAACCAGCACCCTCCAACAGGTCACCACCTGCGACTTTTAAGTCTCCAAAAGCCGCCAGAGGAGACCTGTTGGAGGGTGCTGGAATACATATATATATATAGTTATATATATATGTATAATATATACTGCACTAGACCCTGAAAGGTTGAGGGACCGGGAGTTGCACACACACACATCAAGAACAAACACCTCAACAAACACCTCGCTTCACCGCCGTCCACGCCCTCACAGCACAGGTATCGCTGCTTGGCCTTTCTGAACGCCATGGCGTCCAATGTGTCGGGCTTGCGCGTTCAGCTGAACGAAGAAAAGACCTTGAAGCTCAAGGGGAGCAAAGCCAAAGCTAAGGCATCGCGGGAACGTCCAGCAATCCAGGATAGTCCTGAGTGAGAGATATCCTGATCTGACAACTGTAGGGGTCCATGAAAGGTTTGCGGCATGCTCAAGTTCAAGCGCTAGCCTCAACAAGCCTCATCCATTCTTCATATGTCGAGATCTTTCGACCTGAACTCGACGCCGTAGTAGGTGGCTGCGGGAAAGGTTCCATATCGCTCCCTACCGCGATCCAATAGCTCGAAACCGCACCCAGCAGCGCACCCAGCAGCGTGCAGGCCGCCCAGGGAGCAATCGATGCACCCTTTCGCTGCCACAATCATTTCGAAGGCCGGCAAGCGAGATGATCGGTCACAGAATCCGGTGGTTACAGGCTGCGGAAGTTGAGGAATTGATGCATGTTTTCCACTGGTCACCAAGCAAGCAACCAAGCAAGCAACCAATGGTATAGCCACAGAAGTTGTTGTTGTTGTTCTCCACCCCAATCGCTAAATCTTTGCTCCTCACGGCTCGTTGGCCGGACGACCTCGGACCGAAACGGGTTTTGGCTTCGAAGAGAAGACATTCCATGTTTGAACGCCCCGTTTGAACGCCCTGTTTTGTAGACTGATTAATAAACCATCAACGCCCCATATGAAGAGGATTTTCCAATTCAAGTGGGGGATTATATTATATTAAGCAAGACTCTACATTAAGGATGTGTTCTAAATTTCAACATCGTGTATATAAACAGGCAAACAGAGGTCAAACATGCAAATACAACATTCCATAACATTATTAATGATGTTTTTGGGGTTGCCTTGCATGTCTCACAACGGCTTTGGCCAAGAAGGGCGGAAAAAGAGGTCTCGATCATGCAAACCGTTACAACTCTTGATGACAGAAATTGGGCAGCACTTGAAATGGAGGCATGCTGCCTATCCCACTATTGACCAAGTGTCGGTTTGTGCCAGATGTGTTCCCGGAAACACGGGAATTGGAAGTAATCCAATTTGTTGGGGAAATCTGCAAGAAGTATCATCTCTTCCAGAAGTGGTTCGACGCAGAGGAGCCAGGTGTGGCCAACCATTTGTGGCGCAGTTCCATCATTTCCACAACCAGGTGATCACTCTCCCGCTCACTCACATGGAAGTGCCTGTTTCGTAGATGTTCGTAGAGCAAAATGGTCTTCCACGAAAATGGTCTTCCATGTTGGGCAAAATCCCTTCAAACTGTCAAGGGTTTGGGACTCTTTTGCTTCCAGGAAGCGGAGCGATCTGCACCAAGCGTGGGCTGTGCCACTCGACTGAGAAGGAGGACCGTAGTCTCAGCTGCCACTGCAGATGGGTTGTTGGTTTTGGAGTGGTCGGAGTCCTTCCCACTCTCCAAATCGACCCAAGAATCTTGAGAGAAACATCATCTTCGTTCATATTGGGTGCAGTAGCCCTTGAAACGCCAGCTGCACCACTTGAGAGAAACAGCCCATCTAATCTAGACCAACGACTTCAAGACTTCACATCCCACCGAAAGCACGACTCTTCACCCGACTTGTAGGGGCGCTACATCCCACCCGACTTGTTTCGGTTGGATGACCTGGTCCCACGATGTGATGACCTAAACATCAATGACCGGGGGACCAAAGACCGTGACGAGAAGAGCTTCGACGGCCTGCGTTGCGTCTCCAGCCCGTCATGGATGCAACGCTGGGGCCTGGGATCTTGGGAAGATCCGGCAGCCCAAGCAGCCCAAGGTGAGTCCATGTCAGCGTTTCTGATGAATGCCGGGCATGACCCTTTTGCTGCGATGCCATTGACCTTCATTGTGGAAAACAGCTCCGACCCACAGTGCCATGGCAAGACTTCGCGGTTTTTTTGTGGATCTTGCAAATCTGATGAAATCTGTGTTCTGCGCAATGATGAAATGGCGAAACTTAGGCTCATACGAACCCAGTGGTGTCAAGCCAAAAGATCCAGAAGGTATATCCAAGATCATTTTAAAAAGGTTGACCTGGTTCGTAGAGTAAAGTCCTTTGGTAGAACAATGGTTGTTCGGCAAAAGCTATTATATACGTGTGACCATCGACCATTCAGCAATTTTTGCACCAAGGTTTGCCATGTTCGAGGACCGTGACCGTGATCCAGTTGAGCACTTCCATCGATCGTGTTGTGTTCACTGCTTTCAGCATGATCGGGTTGGAATAGAGAATGGTTGTGTTGAACATATCGCTGCAAGAAAAGCAGAAGCTACGAACGGGGCTCCTGGCCCTACTACTAGGAACAAGGACGCAACTAGGAACACTTTGGGCTGCTGAACTGTCCTCGTGCCTTTCACCTGGGCGAGAGACTTCACTCCGCCTCCGATCCGATTCAGGGCCCACCAGCCTCCTCTTCGGCCGCAGCCCGCGAACAGGAGGCGTACCAGTCGGCGGCCGCCGCGAAGCAACGCATCTGGATCGTGAAGCCCGCAGAGTGGGCCAACCGTGGCTGCGGCATCCGTGGCTGCGGCAGCGAGTGGAGTCCGGGGTCGGCGGTCCGTTCGGCGGTCGGTGCAAAGACACAGCATGGCAAGTGATCGAAGGCCGGACTTTTGTCAGCCAAAAACATCCACTGGCTAAACGTCCAAAGCTTACTGCAAATAGTTTGGAGGTGACTTTTTTTCTGGCACCAGAATGGGGTGATTCTGCAAGCATATTTGATTATAGAATGTGAATTGGGCAAGAACAGTGGGACTCTTCAGCCACATCCAACTCGCATGGTGGAGTTGTTCTTTCCAAGCAAATTGGATGTGCTTCAAGAGATGTTCTATACCTGCAAACACCAAACGGACCTGCAGGTGCAGAGATCATGTTTGATCCCAAAAGTCATGGTACTCACTGCACCGTGAGTCTGGATGGAACACATGCTCCTGTCACCGTGCTAGTGAAACTTCTGAGTTTTGAAGGACATCCTTAGTAAGTCATCCTCCTGTCATGCTGATTTTAGTTTGGATGAATTCACTTGGAAGAATTCAGAGTTCTGAGGCATCTACACCTCCATCGAGGAGGTCAGGGCCAGAGTGGATTCGAAGGAAAGGGCCTGGGCCATTCAGAAGTACATCGAGCGACCCCTACTGATCCACAATCGCTACTTGACTGAAAGAAGGGCAACTAGGCGGGCCCGTCCCACCCAAGGTGCAGAGCACTAGAGGAAGGCATGTGTGTTTCTAGCACGTAAAGCACGTAGGATGAGTGGGGAATAGTGGGGAGGGAGACCCTTTCTTTGAGCAGCAAATGATGTAAACGTCAGAAAGCCCCCGGTCGAAGTGTGGCACGCAACTGTGGGTAGTTCCGATGAGCTCTTTGAGGGCTGCCTTTGCTGCTGTCCCCTTTAAAACTGTTGCGATCAATGTGGATCACAAAATGACTTGTGAAGAGCCTTCCTCTGCTTAGATAAACTTAATATATAGTCTTTTGTTTTTGCTGAGACAGCATCTCTTCAAGCACTTCACCTTCGTTCTTCTTGAAACAAGGTTTTAATTTATCATTTAGTGACACACTGTCATAGGGGGCCATGTCAGAAGTTCGTATTTGGGACAAAGTCAGGTTTTCCCTATATGCTTGGTTAGGAGTTGATCCAAAAGAAGCGACAGCAGGTTGGTATACCTTGCCTATTTGCGAAGCTTCATCCGCTAATGGAAGAGTGACAAGCTGCCAAGCTGTTTTGCTTGCGAGTCCATGCAGGGATGCTGCATGCTACCTACCCCTTCAACACTCCAAGTGATTTGCCTCATCTGGCGACAACAAGCATAATAAATTATGAGCATGTGGCCACTCCATGCTGAGAGCCGAGCACGTCACGGAAAAACCAGGCAAAGTTTTGTGAGGTGTTTCGTCGCTACTCAGCAAGCACCGGCCCTGAGGCAAGTTTGACATCCGCGCGCAGCTCATCATGCAAGTTTGATTGGAGCTCCGGCTTTCTTTGGAATGCTATTTGACTCGGGGGTTCACTCGTGCGGAGTCATTGCGCAGTCTTCAGCAGGTTATTATGGCATCGTCCTTAGGATGGACAAAGCCCGGTGTGCCCGTACCAGTACCATTTGCGACGTTGGATCCCCAGCCAAAGCGGTCGGTGGCTATGTGAGGTTCCGACCGTCGAAAGGCGGCGGAAGAACGTGCTACATACCTGTGGAGCATCAAGAAGCTGTAGAATGGGCGTTTCTGTTTGGCAAGCATCGGTGCTTCGAGGTAGGTCATTAGCTTGATTTCTCAAGAAGAGCACGGATCAGCTCGGCAAAACCAGACATGCCCTACTGTTTGAACGTGTTTGAACGCTCGTCCGACTCGTCCATTGAAACGCTCGCTCCGTTGCTACTGGGCTCGAGATTCCTGGGCCACACGAACTGCGTGGCCCGAGAGATTTGTTTCCGCCGGTGAATCAGTGGGTTGGGTGACGCGACCATGACGGAGAAAGAAATGGATTTGTCAGGCGGGCCAACCGAACCAGACCAACCGAACGACCGGACGTTCGAATTCCACTGGGCCGTTTTTGAAACGTGTTCGAACGGCGTTTGGGGGTGAGGATTTTTCAGGCGTAAACCGGGCGGGACGTTTCGGGTGGACGATACAACTTGGGAGCCACAGCGCCACCCAATATATATAATGGTGGAAAAGCTATGAAAGATGTATTGCAACAGATTCCGGGACCAGGCGGGTGGGGACTATACCTTGCATTGCGCATGTCAACATTCCATTCTGGTAGGCTAGGTGTCAATCACTTTATTCACCACTCCTGGTGCCTGACTGAGCTGTTCAAGGGGCAGGCATCGCAGATGAGCCGTGGGAAGGGTCACCCCAGGAATTGGACTGCCGTGGTCAGGAGCCAAGTTTCTCTTGGTGTTACAGTGAATTCTTGGAGGGATGGATTTGTGACACATCTGAATCCCAAGTCCCACAAAACGTAAACGTCATCAAACGACCCACATCACTAAACCGCGCAGAAAACACGCCAATGGGTCTTCACCGGGAGGTGAGAAGCTCTCGGTGGGCGACTTTAGCCTGGGCAAGACGCTGGGCACGGGAGCCTTTGGACGAGTGAGGTTTGTCACGCACAAGGCCAGCGGAAGGCACTACGCGCTGAAGACCTTGAAAAAGGCCGGCGGGTCAAGAGGAGCAGCGAGAGTGGAAAACGTCAGCTGGGTTTGGGTCATCTACAGATGATTTGGAAAAGTACTGTGATTTATTTGGGAAGCTACTGTATTCATTTGCATTCATATATACTTCCTAAATCTACCAGGGGTGCGCTGGTCATGTTGCTCGAAGTGGGTGGGTTGTGTGCAAAGCTGGTGGAGCTAGAGGGCTCGACATGGGTTTTAGTGCACCTGCTCACTGCTCATGCTTGTTCCTGCTCGTGCTCGTTCAGCTAAAGCACTTGAGTGGTCGAAAGAAGAAACTTTAACCACTGGTTCCTAACCAGTGTGTGTTGTCCCTTTTTCTATGCTGTTTCTGTTGTGCTTTTGTGGCTCCCTATTTTGAGACTGTATACATACTTCTCTGGTCAATTGAGTCGAGTCAGAGCAACGTGCCTCGCACCGTCAGGCGGCTATCATCAAGATGAAGCAGGTTGACCATATCATGAGCGAAAAGCAGTCATACCCTCAATCTTTGACATTGAGTGAAGCCATTGACTTGCTTCTTTCACATTTGCCCTTCATGATCCTGCCCCCCAAATCCAAGGATTCTGGCCAAGTTGCAACACCCATTCATCGTGAACATGTTTGGCTCCTTCCATGACCCACGCTATATCTACATGGTCTTGGAGTACATCGTCGGCGGGGAATTCTTCACTCACCTCCGAAAGGCTCGGGCGATCGCTGCGCTTGGCGATCACTGCACCATGTGCCCCCAGTTAGAGGGATGCCACCCTCATTCCCGTCGTGCCAGCGCCTGTCGTGAGATCAGCCAAGTCCTGTTGACACCTCATTGTTTTAGGGCTTCAAAGGCACTGAGGATACTGTTGTTATTTGTTGTTCAAAGAATGGCAAAGAGACGATTGCGCAAGGTAAGTGGGAAGGGGAGAACATCCTTCGTTTGAAGCACTCGTATCTACATTGTAAATATATATATATTGTCAAGTGAGGTTGTGTTCCCAAGTTCGTCAATACCTGTCTCCATGGCAAGCAGATGGCAGGAACATGTAGTGTGCCGATTCTTGCCCTTCGCATGTCCATGGTCTTAATTACAGCCAACAGACAATTCCCACACCCAAGCATTCCAATCTTCCAAAGCTTAAGCTTAACCTAGTGCTGCAGGTGGGGTGTAGAACAACATCCTGTCGAATACTCCCACCGGGTTTCGCCATGCAAGGCTGGCCGTTTTGAGAATGAGCAGTCCCTGTTCTACGCGGCGCAGATCACTTGTATCTTTGAGTACTGCCATGAGCTGAACATTGTCTACCGTGATCTGAAGCCGGCCACTTGGACTTAGATGTCGGCACCTGAAACCGAGAGAGATGGGGCACCTGTGATCTCCGTGTATTCCGAAACGGTCTGTGAAAGCAGGAATCACATGTCCAACTCCAAGGGACTCCGGGAGAATGGAAGAGATACACTGAGTGTTCTGGGCGGTTCTGCAACACTTGGTCTTCCGGCCAAGCTGCCCGCCAAAACCAAGTTTGTTTGGTCGTTGATTTGCAGACACACCACGAAGGTTGCAAAATGAACTTCGAAACAGCGGTGGCTGGTGCTGTTTCAATGGTTCAACTGGTTTGAGCAACCCATGCAAAACCACTAAGCCAGGGAAAACGCTTCCATATCTTCCATGGCAAGGAGAATTGTAAATCATAAAAAATTGTCGCCTTTGTTTTTTTGTCAAGAGTGTAGTGTAGCAGCTTTGGATTTCCAAAGCATCCAAACGTGGGGAAGGGGAGCACTTAGCACCCTGAAACCTTGAAACACGTCTCAACCTCACTATTGCGTGTACTACCTGTCAAGTCCCTTTGGGCTTCCTTAAGATCTGGCCAACGGGTTTAGATCGTAGATGAAGCAGAAGACCACTAAGTGGACGGGGTGTATGTATTTCTGGGTGTTGCTCGTTAGTATATTTTGCACCCAACGTTTACCAGTCTGATCCAATCTGCATGTGGGTATGACTCCGTAGTTTTGACGTGTTGCCACTTGTTTGCGTCACATAATTCGTTTGAGGCTTTTCGAGATTCTGAAAAAAATCCTTGTTTCAGGCCTCCCGGCACGGACTCAAAAAATCTGCTCTCCTGGCCCAGGAGAACATTTTGATCAATGCCGATGGCTACGTGAAGTTGACGGACTTCGGCTTCGCCAAGGTCATCGAACACCGCACCTACACGCTTTGCGGCACGCCAGAGTACATCGCGCCAGAGGTCTTGCTGAAGCTCGGATCGTCCTGCGGATCGTGTGGGTGGTGAAACAGTCGCGCGTCTTCCGTCGGACTGGAAGAACAGCGGTACTACACCGTGATAGATACTACACCAGTGAGTTCGGTCCCTTCGATTTGCTTAAGGGACCTGCCGAAAGACCCTGCAAGCAAGCGTTTGAGCGTTGACGATCTCATGAATCAATTGACCTTCAACCAATTGGAATAGTTACAGTAGGTGTCAGGGAATCCAGAACTGTCGGAGAGAACCACGTCGTGCTGGATGACCTGCAAATGATCGTCATCAGCAGTTCTCCAATCATCAGCCGTGGAATTCGTGCAGAATTCTAAAGAGATGCCAGTCATGTGCCTGCTGTGCCCAGGAACAAGGGCCATGGAAAGCCAGTGGATTGGTGGACCCTCGGCATCCTCATCTACGAGATGATTGTCGGTTGCTCGTCTTGAAGAAGTGCTCAGCATTTCTTCGTCGCCCAGAAATCCTGGGTTCATTTCTCATAAGATGCAATACAAGTTACTTGTGTAGTGTTTGCCTTAGATTTGGCGGGTGTGCCTTTTGATCCTTTTTGATCCTTTTTATGGGTTCAGGGATTCGATACTATCAAACATTATCAAACTGTGTATACAAGACTTCCACCACAGACAGAGCAGCACCAAAGAGAGAGAGAGAGAGAGGGAGAGAGAGAGAGTGTGTGAGTGTGTGTGCGTGTGTGTCGGTGACATGTTTGGATCGCAGCATTGTTTGGACAGGAAAGAAACTGGTTCGGATATCTTGAAGATGCCCGCAGACCCTGCATGAATTGGCTGGGCATGGCTAGGCTGTCCACTATTCTTTTTGGCAGAGGGTACCTCTCCTGGTATTGCATTCATAGCATGCATGGATGAATATCCAAACTATTGCCATACACCGTCCAAATATATGAAGCTCGCTGCCGGACATGTGAGAAGATTGCCGGGTATGCTATGTCTTCAATTTGGACTTACCTCGTCCATCCTCTATGAATTGGGAGCCCGAATTGAATATGTATATACTATATATATATACACTGAAGAGTGCCCAGTGCTCAAGCGCGTGCGCTTGATCTTAATTTTGCCAGGCAATGCCCGTGTCGGTCGGCGTGTCGATCAGCGTGTGAGGTCGCCCCAGTCGACCGACAGCCGGCGACCGGCGACCGATCGAAGGCTATCCCCCTTTCGTCGATGAAGACCCCATGGGCATCTACCAGAAGATCTTGGCAGGAAAGATCACGTTTCCAAAGATCTTTCACAAGGAGGCAGTGCGGGTGGGGGGCACCCTCAGCACAAGGTGCTGGTATTCCTTTAACTCCTTGTAACTACAACTACTGAGTTGTTTTTCAAAGCGATCTTTTTCATGTGAAATGCTCATAGCCCTCCTAGTCACTCCTGTTCATCCAACCGCTGCGGCACAAGCATGCACCAAACAGATGCTGAAAGTTCCTTTTTCGGACACAGGTTTGAATCCTTGGAAAAATATGGCCAAGGTCTATCACCGTGTCATGTGGCTGTGTGTTCCAATCTGTTGTCAATTTGGTGCCTCATGTGTCTTTGATCTCAGCATTCTTGGGGTCCACATCAGCCGGCCCCGTCGGCCACGACCGACGGCCAGGCTAAGAGCTTGGTGAAGAAGTTGCTGACCCCGGACTTGGGCAAGCGCTTCGGGAACTTGAAGAACGGCGCCGCGGACATCAAGGAGCACAAGTGGTTCAAGGATCTCAGCCACTTGGAGTTTTCGGCCGATGGGAGCCGTTTTCACCGACGAAATCGATCGATCGAATCGGTGACGTCGTGTGGGACGTGAAGGACGCGATGGGATAGTACGCCGGTGGAAGGCCCGGAAAGAGAGTGGGGAGACTTCTTCACATTCACCCACCACACGGGTTTAGAACTGTGCCTTCTATTGCTACATGAACCAGGGGTGCTGGTTAGGACAAGAGCAGTTTTTGTGGCGCGATAGACAGACAGGATTTGATGGGAGCTTCAGAGGATTTCAGAGGGAATTGAGAGGATGGAAGAACATTCTCTCTTTTTCATCAAGCACATTCCAAAACCCGCTAGACCAAATCTGCGTGGCATCGCTTGAAAATGTGACACGACCAGTTGAGTGAAACTGGATGTATGTTATATGCATTCAAATTTATATACATTTGATTATCTGATTGGTCCACCAAGTGGTCCCTCAAGTTCGAAACAATCCAAAAGATTCAAAAATCATGACGATTCTTAGATTTCAGTCACAAAGGAGCGGTGTTTAGTCCCTAAGTGAGTGGATAATGGCACACCCATCCTCCAACGGGCACCCCTTTGTGAGTGCTGCTTCTTGTATTTCTATAGATTTCGCGACTCCGCGCTGTAGTAGACTGTGGCGACAACACTCCGCGACTGGCCGAAGGAGTTCGACGGGACCTGGGGTGCGCCGGAACTCGGTGCACGCACGAGCAGATGGGACCGAGGCTGGGATGATTTGTTGGCCAAGAAGGTGGAGGCTCCCTTTAAGCCATCCGTGAAGGGTGCCACAGACACCAGTGCTTTGGCAGTGAAAAGATGTGAAAATTGATCGACGTGAAAGCACAGAGGTACAGGTGATCACAGAGGTACAGGGGATTCGTGTACTTTGCATGTATGGCGCTGGCGTTGGTCCGCTTCCTTGAAGAAGAGCGGCTGATTCAGACGAGATCTCATGCAAGCGAGTGGACCAAAGCACCACGAAACAGGGGTGTAAAGCAGTAGGCGATGGAGGGTCTTGATTACAACCCCCCATGTGAAGAGGTTGTACAAGCTCAAATGGATGGCTTTGTTGATCAAGAGATCTGCATTAACTATATGGGGTCTAATAAGAATCGCTTTGTAATCCCTGACTGCCAGACCACTTTTTTCAGTTCGATTTTGTGGGAGCCACTTCCTGACTGCCGCACCATGCGCCAAAGGTGCGTATGTGGACTAGCCATGTGCGTCGCATTGTTGGCTTCTGTTTTTGTGGATTTGCCACTGACCCAGTCTTAGCAGAGTAGGTCTCAGGTGCAAAAAGACCTATACTGTTATCCGTTCTTTGGATCAACAACCACAATCACTGAATCTGAAGCATAGAGAAGTCCCCTTCGTGCTGACTCAGTGGTGTGAGATGGGGACGAAAGAGGTCTTTCGTCCCTCCACTGCATCACACGTCACACAGTCAGTGCTCCACTGTCCTTCATCCCCTGCTCCTCCTGGTGCCTACCCAGGCAACTTCGATGACTACCCAGACTCAGATCAAGAGCCTCCCGCGGTGAACGCTTCGCAAGATCCCTTCACCAACTGGTGGCTTGGCAGATCGATTTCCTGCAACGGTTCAACAGAAGACACTGCCCGAAGCAGTTGTCCCACTAGGGTCGGTTGAAATTAGAATCCCACCGCGGATCCACCCACTGAGGTGAAGAAGTTCGGAAGTTCCTATACGAACCTATACGGCATCAAGTGAGGTGAATGCACTTTCGCACCCAAAGCGTGCGGAGGTTTGCCTTGGAATCTACGCATTCAGCAGCTGGTGTTTCCACTCACCCTTTGGGGCTGAGGAATGCAGAGCCCAGCGACTGGGCGATGAATCATATCTTGTGATGACATGTAAAGTCCATTTCATGTGACACGACTGCAGCTTCGCATTAAGACTCTGAATTGATGATTTTCGCAGAATGAAACACCACCTACCTTGCCTGCTGGGCGTCCAAGCGTCTGAATCAGAGAACGTTATTCAACGTTTGCGATTGCTCCCCGTCGGCCCGAAGTTCCAAGGGTCATCACTGTTCGATGTTAGATGAGAGGTGGGCCGTAGTACGTAGGCTCGACAGAAATTCTATGAGTACATCAAATGTTGAAATCACGTGAAATCACCGGATCCACATGTTGCACGAAGATGAGCCCCCGTGAAGATGGAGCAGCCAAGAATCACAAGAAAATGGCAGGGCAGTTTGAGGCTCGATTGGCATGCTCATCATTCCGGGAGGCAAAAGTGACTCGTAATTGGGGAACAATCGATGAGAGCGAATGCCCTGCGCTGGTTTCACCCTTGTAATTGCAAACTCCTGGTCGAGGACGACGGCGAAAAGGCAGCGAGAGGGGCGGCACGGATGCTTAGGGGCCTGAGCTGTGGTCTGGGTCCTGAGTGGAACTCCAGTGGACTCAGAAATCCGAAGAAAATTGGGCCTGGTCATGGGTTGGTCATGGTGATTTGCGTTATTGGGCGTTAAACTAAGAGGACCTCTGGAACAAAAACTACGCCACCAAAAAGATTCTCTCCTCGCAAGTCTTTGACACAGCACAGCCGCACAGCTTAGGTATTGCTTGGTCCTTGCCAGCAACGAAGGCCAAGACCTCCAAGCCTTCGGCTTCCGGGATGCCTACCTCCGCACCACCAGCCACGCGTCGCTTGGGTTTAGAATGCTTCAGACATGTTTAGACACTTTTCCGGGTAGATCGGGTACGTGTGTATAATACGGACCTGCAGCATCTACGGATTTGAAGGGATCTGTTAGAGACGGGCCGTGTGAGACACACCTGAGGGGACCGTCTCGCGTGTTTCGTTCGACCTGTTCCAAACTTGCACCCCCCCTGAAAGAATGGTTTCGTGAAGTGAAAACCACCATGCTTGGTATTCGGATCTCATGGTCCACCGAACGAAAGGGGCCATGCCATCCACGGAAGTGCACCATGAGTCTTTCAGGAAGTGCACCTCACCTCACCAGAATCCTCGGAAGCAGATTGATCGCTCCGTGCGCTTTGCACACAAAATCTCGACCCACACGGAATCGAGGTACACCACCAAGATCCTCGACAGGCGGGATGTAGTTCTTCAGAAGCGGAGGGGGAACTCTGGGTCAGGTCAAATAGATGCTTGACTGGACGCAGAGAGAGGTAAGCATGATCGAAAAAGACCAACCTTAGAAACCCCAAGGCCGTGTAGTGGGATGACCTGCCGTGTAGTCTACTTTGTGAACCATTTGGTGAACCAGTGAACCAGGTGTTTTGTGAATCATTCAATCATCTAGAATCAACCAGGCCCAGATTCGGTGTTTATTTGCAGGATGGTTCATCTCAACAACGACGCAGTACAGAAGCAGGGCGAGGAGTACGGGAAGTTCGAGACAGGGAACAAGCTTTCACTGGAAGAGTTCCAGAAGTTTCTGGATGAACATGTGCCTCGTTCTGCATGCTTCATTGGGACCAGACCAAATGGTGGTTCTGGAGGCTTCGTCGTTCTGGAGGCTTCGTCGGAGCTTGACCAATCTTTGATCTGGAAGCAGAAACAGCTTCCAGAGAGCAGAAGCAAGAACAAGGAAAGACCCACGGGTGCTCGTTGTCAGCAAATGGAAAAAGAAATTGAGGTGCAACCTTTTGAGCATTTTGAGCCATGGACCCACCAGCCAAGTATAAACCCAAAGCCACCGAGAATCGACCGATCAATGGACCCACCGAGTCCGAACCCAGCGCCCAAGGCCTCGCGCAAGGTCCACGTCCGAGAGGAGTTGATGCCCAAATGCCATGCGCTTATGGCAGATGTGTCGGGGCTGATATGATGGTGGGTCAGGGTGGACGGTCGACGTGTCAAGTGATTCGAGGCTTTTGGTGTCCAGGGCTTGGTGTTCTTTGTGATATGTTGCGAGGGAAGAATCTCCGATGAATCTTATCGTTCGGGTGGTGTGTATGTGTGTGTATGGGTGTGTGGGGGGGGTTGTGTGTTCTTTCGTGGGACGGGAATTGAACCTGCTGGAAAGGAAGAGCTCTATGGCCCTATCACCAGGTTTGGCCAAGTGGCCAACAGGTGCCGTTTGCCGTCCATCCACCCGAGAGATTTGAGGCCATTCGCTCTGCGGCAGAGAAACTCAATGTGCGGAAGATCAAGAACTGCTTTGAGGCCAAGGGACTATGATTGGGGATCTCTTATGGCGTTGAGGTGTTCGTGGTTTTCCACATTCACAGGGCCGCAAAGTTGCACGTAGTCTTCCAAGGGTGTGGTTTGGTCGCTTCTCTAGTACTTCTCTATTGGTGAAGAAACCTAACAACTGAAATACAGACAGGAGCATCAAAACATCAAAGGAATATGGCCTCTCAGAAAACCCTCCGAGAAATAGATGGAGCAGACCGAGCCTCCGCCAAGCCTCCCTGAGATGACTGCGACCCCACAGCCATTTGGCTCCAAAGCCCTGGAGTGACTTGGAGGCTGACTAGGTCTTTCAGGTCACCGCAATGCAGTATCGAAGCCTGTGGCTTGTGGCCTCCTTACTTTGTGCCTCTGCCCTCAGATCCAGAAGCAAGGAGAAGTTACTTGGAGAGACGGGGACGTTTTTCAGGCCGTTCACGAGGACTGGGTGATGAGTGCACTGCAGAGAGCTGGAGGTGATTGGATGATTTGATTCATGGGCACGATTGACGGCCATTGTAGATGAACATCGAAGAACACACGAATTCATGTGACTAATGATTCCTGTCACAAAATGTCACAAATGAAGGTCGATTCTGTTGAGGACTCTTGTTTGGAGTCCTTACATCAACGGTTTACAAACCAAAATATGATAGATCAGGATCGTTTTGGCAGTCAAAACCTTGCCGGAGATGACATGACAAAAACCTTCGAAGTTCCCCATATTTCATCCTCGGGCCGCCATTCATGGCTTTTTCCGTCCAGCTGCAGAACATGGACCAGGCACTTTGTAGAGACAAGAAGCTTGCTGTTCCTCGGAACGACCGGGTCGTTGTTCCTCTCCAAACGAACACCCCCCAGACCCATTCGAACGGACCCAACGAGCCGATCTTGGCTCTACACACCGATCTGGGTAGCCGAGCCTCTAGATCTGGGCCGATCTACTTCACACGGACATCCCCTGAGGTTTGGCTTCTATTTTCCAGTGCATTCTCAGATCCCTTCGACTCTGAACGTGGTGCAGTCCGTCCGGAAGTTCTACCCCACTGCCCCGCTCTACCTGCCGCTTGGGCGTGGGACAGAACCCCGGGTTTGTCCGCTGGACGCGTGAACAGGGCGACCCACGACCCCGGTGGTCCACAGATCGTTTTGGGTCAGGGCCCCCGAGCCAGGGGTGGTTAATGGCTTAGGGGCCCTGGTGGTCGTTTGTTTGGAAAGATGTTTGTGACGGACGAGACGGGTGGAAGAGAGACTGCAGGTCAGCAGAGAGCCTGAAACAATAACGTGTGTTTCGGTGGGGAGAGGTTGCAAGACGCTTTAGCTATGTAGCACATGCAGGAACCCTCAGGAAATTTCAGGACAATTCACAAAATTATATATGTTGGACATGCCAAACGCTGACAACATTGTCATATTCTGGGATGTCATTGTGACATTGTGTGTGTGTGTGTCCACCCCTGGACCAAGGGTTTCGTCCAACCGATCCACCTGCCACTTGTACCACCACCGATTCACAAGCAGGGGGCAGGAGTGCCATTGCAAGTCTCCTGCCAACGAAGACGCTTGCAATTGGCAGTGAAACCAGACCTGATCAGTCTGGCGTACCTGCGACTTTGAACTTTTGACCACGCTGTTCCAATCTCTCTTGTTTGCTTCCATGGTGGTTCCACGATACTTCCCCCTAAACCTTTTCCTCCCCAGCAGCGCTGCAGCTTGAGCCGCTTCGTCACCGCAGTCAAGAGAAACAACCATTGTTCAAACACCTACAATTTCTCGGACTTTTCGCCATGCTGTTCCACCGCCATCCTTCCCATCGCGGTAACTGAGTCACTGAAAACCAATGTCAGAGTGTGTTTCGCTCAGCCGTCCCACTCGGGTGCTGAGTGTGATCCCCGTCACAGGGGCGCCGTTTTTGCATAGGAAATCATCCACCCCAACTTGCCACCTTTCACCGGATTTCCACTGGAAGTCATTGACACACCCATCGAATCAACTGATGCATTGGCCGCCGGGCCTAAACACGGCAGCTTTCCTTTCACTGAAGGACTTTCTGACCAGTCTTGCAAAGAGTTTTTGCATGATCTTACATGTAGTGACTTTTTGACCTGTGCCGTGACCTTTCCGTCAGAAGAACTCAAGCCCGCATACCGGAGTTCTCAAATCTAATTCGAGATGCATGACCACACCCTACAACAATTTTACTTGTCACATCAAGCTCACCTTCACAGCATACTTCCTTTCAACAAGAGCAATGCGACTTTCAACATCACCATGACAGGAAGCTGCTGCAGCCGAGCTAGTGAGGCTTTATGTCCAAAAAAGGACACAACCACCACGCCTGCCACCGGTTTTTGAAAAAGCG